AGCTTATTGGAGTGGGAGGGCTGTTGTGATCCCTTAAAAGTATTAAATTTTCATACTAGGACACGCAGTCCTAGTGTCAGCTTAATTTGTGATTGAATACAGTCCCATAGCAAATTGATATAATCATAGGACTTAAAGTTAGAAGATTAGATCTGGAAGGGACCTCAGGAGTAATCTAGTTCAATTCTTTCATTTTACAGATAAAAAACCGAGGCCAAGAGAAGAGAAGTGGCTGGTACAAGGTTACTTTGGTAGTCAGTAATGGAGTTCAGGTTAAAAATCATGTCTTCTGTCCCCAAATCCAGTTCTCTTTTCATTACACTCTCCTCATTTCATTTGTCTTGCTTTTGTTTTCTATGTAATAAAGGCCATTTTCCTGCATTTTTAAAAGTTTGATATCTCAGGTTTTTACATTACTTTCACCCCTAAATATATCCCTCCTTCCTCCCTATCCAAAAGCCAACCCTTGTATCATGGGGGAAAAAATGGAGGGAAAAAAAGCAATTCAACAAAACCCACTAACATATGAAGCAAGTTTGATGGTATATGCAATATTTCACACTTATATTCCTTCACTTCTGTGAATAAGGGAGGGAGCTACATTTTCTGAACTCTTCTGCAGGACTAAGCTTGGTCATTATAATTATGCAGCAGTTTTGGATTTTTGTTGATTTCATTGATATTGTTTTCATTATTTCTGGTTCTGTTTAGTCTGTATCAAGTCATATAAGTCTTCTCATTTTTTCTTAATTATTTTTATTCATTATTTCTTATCGAACAGTAATATTTCACTGCAATCATGTGCCACAATTTGTTCAGCCATTTTCAAATTAATTTTGTCATTTGATTTTATAAAAGATTAACTGATCTCCCCTTGTAACTTTTTTTATTTAACTGTGACTTTCTATTATTTATGGTAGAAAATAGAGGGGAAATACATGACATAATAACTCACCCTAAAGTACCTATTAATCTATCAAGAGATACCCCAAAGATGAATAAAATTCTCAAAGGTCAGTTCTCCACCCAACCCCCGAGGACTGCAGAGCATTTGAAGGGAATTAACTCACTTAAGGTCACAGAGGTCATAAGATTTTGTTGGGATAGAGGGGAACCAAGGACAAGTGAGTAATGATGAAACCAGTAGAGTGTATATGATGCTAAACTCAGTTATGTCTTGCCACCTTTTCTCATAATATTCCTAATTCTGCTGCTCCCTCCCTGAATGCCCCACTCTTCCTCTAGTCTTTCCCAAATCTCTTTCATCCTTCAAGCTCCCACTTAAATAGCACTCCACACTTCCTCTCCTGGATTCCTCATTTGTAAAATGAAGGAATAGATTCAATGAGCTTTAAGGTCTTTTCCAACTCTTTGTTCCTAGCTTCATCCCAACTCGAAGAAGGGAAAACCCCCCTCTCTTCTCCATCTTATTGACAAATTTATTTTCTTTCTTTTTGGTGAGGTAATTGGGGCTTAGTGACTTGCCCAGAGTCACACAGCTGCCCTGTGTCTGAGGCCAGATTTGAACTCAGTTTCTCCTGACTCCGGGGTCGGTGCTCTATCCGCTGCACCACCTAGCTGCCCCTGACAGATTTCTTAAAAGTGGTTTATATTTGTTGGATCTATTTGATCAACATCCTTGTAATAAAGACTATCCATCTAATCCATTTATAGATCACTTTCAGATTTACAAAGCACTCTATATACTGCCTCTCATTGGATTCTCATAAGAGCTCTGGGAGGTAGGTCCTACAGGTATACTTAACCCCATTTTATGGACAAATAAACTGAAATAAAGAGACAATAAATGACTTGACCATCATTACAAAGCCAGTAAGTACAATGTTCAAATTCAGTTCTCTCCTATCTGTAAGTCAACACTTTCCATTACTCCACACTGCCCCCATTCTCTTGCCATCCACTTTTGCCTTAACTCATTGCAATCAGGATCCTGCCTACAATACTCTACTGAACTCATGCTTTCCATTAATCTAACCCAATGAATGGCCTTTGTTCAGTTCTTACTCTTATATTTCATGTTACTCAGTGACTCCAATCTATCCTGCTCAGAACTCTCTTCTTCCTATGACATTATACCCTCCTGCTTCTCTTTCTATCTCCTACCTCTCACCACTTCTTAATTTCCTTTATTAAATTAACTTCATTCTTTTATCTCTCAAATTCAAGCATACAACATGGGCCAGTATTTTTTTTAAACTTCATCTTTGATCTTCTCTTGCAGAAATCTCATACATTCATGAAATCACAGTATATGACGCATTGAAGGAACCCAGAGATCATTTAGTCCAATTACCTAGACATAAATCTTGATAATATCCCAGAGAAGTGATCCTCTTTCTTTTTCTTGAAAGCTTCCAATAGCGGGAATACACTCAATCTTAGGGTAACATTCAGCCTTTAGAGAGCTCTGATGTTGCGAAGTTTTTTTTTTGCCATCTTATATCCAGTAGAAGTCTATCCTTTGGAATTTTATGCCCATTGTTTTTAGTTCTGCTGTCTGGGGTTGATACAAGTCTAAAACCATCATCATTTCCTCTAAGACTCTTAGGGCTAATCATCACTAGTTCCCTTAACCAATTCTCCTAAGGCATGTTTTTAAGTCCTCTTACCACCTCTGAACATGCCTTAAAAAATCTGAAGGCAGTATCCCAGAAATGGTCTGGCAAGAGCAGAATACCCTTGGGCCATGCTTTCTCCCATTCTTGATAATTAGTTTAGGACATAAAATTTAATATTTCTCTGGATATAGTCATGATCTCACTAATGTGAGTGCTTCCTTCACAAGGATAATATCCAATCCTTGACTTCTCATCTTCTACCTTTCTTGTCTATATCTTAGTGTAATCATAGATTCTCAGAGTTGGAAGGAACTTCAGAGTCATCTAGCTCAACCACATCTGATAAGAATGTCCTGTGTAGGACCTTGCAGCTTCTACATTAAAAGACCATAAGGTGTGGAATATGATATTCCGTAAGGCAAAAGAGCTTGGATTACAACCAAGAATCAATTACCCAGAGAAAATGAGCATCATCTTTCAGGGGAGGAGTTGGATATTGAATGAAATAGGGGCTTCCAAACTTTGATAAAAAGACCAGAGCTCAACAGAAAATTTGATCTTCAAATACAAGATTCAAGAGAGACATAAAAAGGTAAATGGGACAGAAAGAAACAGCATGTTATTAATAAGGGCAAACTGTTTACATCTGTACAAGGGAAGACAACACTTATAACTGTATTGTTATCACACCATGTTAAAGGAGTATACATAAAGGGGGTCGGGTGTAAGTTGACTTTGATGTAATAATAATAAAAAAACTAATCAAGTGGTTTAAATGGATCCAAGTAAGTGGATTAATCTGATCTAAGAAAATGTACTGAGAGAAACAGAAAGGAGCAGGCAGACAAGGGCAAATTACAATGCAGGAAAAGGCACAAAAACCTATTACAACAGAGGGAAAGAAGGGAACGAGATGAGCATTGTTTGAACCTTACTCACATCAGATTTGCCTCAAGAAGGGAATAATATAATCAATTAGGTACTAAGATTGATAGGCTTAGCCCTTCTCAGCAATGCAAGGACCTAAGACATCTCCAAAAGTCTCATGATGGAAAATGCTATCCACATTCAAAGAAAGAACTATGGAGTTAAAATGCAGATTGAAGCATACTATTTGCTATTTTTTTTCTTCTGTTGTGTTTTCTTTCCTCTTTCTGGTGGATCCTCCCCATGGGTTCTAATTCTTACTTACAACATCACTAATGTGATAAGAATGTATATGTACAGCCTATGTCTGATTGTGTGTCTTGGGGAGTGAGGTGGGGAGGGAGGGGGAGAAAAATTTAGAACTCAAAAGCTTGTGGAAGTGATTGTTAATAAATCAAAATTAATTAATTTTAAAAAAAGAACAGAAAAAAAGAATGTCTTGTGTAACATGCCCAAGAAGTGGTATAGATTGTCTTGACTTGAAGACTAGATATTCTTTACCTGAAGACCTTCAGTGAAGGGTAAACTATTGCTTCCCAAGGCAGCTCATCCCACTTTGGGATAGTTCCAATTAGTAGGAAATCCTTCCTGACATGAAGCCCTGAATTTGTCTCTTTGCAATTTCTACTAATTGCAATTAATTTTATCTTCTGAAACCAAGCAAAAGAAGTTTAATCCCTCTTTCAAGTTCCAGCCCTTCAAATACTCACAGCCCAGTGGTATGGAAAGAATCAGGGCCTGAGTTCAAATCCCAGTTCTACTACTTACCATTAATGAGTCCTTAGGCAAATCATTTAACTTCTCTGGGCTTCATGTTCCTCATCTGTAAAAATAAGGGTGTTGGACTATATGGCTTTTAACATCTGTTCCAACTTTAGATCTATGATCCTGTATCTTTATCTAAGCCTTCTTTTTCCAAGCTAAATATTTCCAGTTCCTTAAACCAATCCTCATAGTGTGTGATCTCAAGATTGTTTACCATACTAGTTGCTTCCTTAAAGATACTCTCTGGGTTATCAGTCTCATTCTTAAAATGTCCATAGAACTCAACAAAATACTCCACATTTGATCTGATTGTGGTCTAGAAGAGCAGTACTATCACCTTCCTAGTCCTAGACACTATGCCCTTTTAAATGTAGCTTTTAATTGTAAAGAAGAGCAACCCCCATGTATAGGAAACCTTCTAGATATTTTAACATTTCATGGATGCCAGTATAGTATTTGGGCTCTCCATATATTAAACTTTCCTATACATGATCATCCCACCTCCACTTCCATTTGTACGTTTCCCGTGTGAAAACTTTTATGCAACTTCTTGTATGCAAGCTATTTTGGTAATATGGTGCAAAGTGAGTTATGCTCACCATGCATTTCCTCATTGCTTTTGAGGTCTCCTGCAATTTTTATTCTATGTAGATTCAAAGATTCATAGAATATCAAAACTGGAAGGAATTGTAGAGACCAAATAGTCCAACCAATGCTCTAATTTTACAGATGAGGAGGAAGCAGTAGTCCAGAAAAAAGTGATCGCCCTGAGGTCACACAGTAAGTACCAGAATCAGCTCTTGTACATAGGTCTCTTACATCTCTGTCTTGTGTCTATTCTGCTCCAGCTACAAATATCATTTGTGTCTGGTGCTTGTTCACAGTAGCACTTCAGGAATGACATTAAAATCCTCAATGAGCTTATAAAATGCTGAGACTACAAACAAAAGCTTTAGAAAATAAATCTAAGAACCTAGTGCTTGGAAATATCTGACAAACAGAGTACATACTGTAGGAGCTAGAGGGCTTTCCCCTGGCCTTTCTGCTGCACAAGTATCACCTTTTACCTTTCTTTCCCCTTTATTCTCCAAGGGGAAAAGTGTGACTACTAATTGCTCAGCTAATTGTGAGAGGTGTGACTGGAAACTATGTGAATTGAGGTCAGAGGCTGGTTGTTTCTGGGTGGAGGGTCAGAACTGAATGAGCCCAAGTTCCCTAGCTATCCCTGGTGCCCCACTCATTCACCAGGCCCTTCTTTACTCCCTCCCTTCATGACACAGCAGGGCTTTAACTATGGACTGACTCGACCTAAAGTAGATGCAGATTGTCCAGAGAATCAAACAGTCCAGATGTAACCCATGGGATATCCTGAGCAGGGAAATACAATGTGGGCTCTGGTCCAAAGGCAAGAAATTACCACATTTGGAAAAGAAACCCTTTGAGAGCAGTTATAAACAAATTATTTTTTATTACCACAAAAAATTATTGAGTTGGGAGCATCAAACAAATCTGAAATGATAGTCACATTTAAACTAGGAGAAAATGGATAGTCATAGGAAGAAAAGTCCCAAAGAAAACAGAGTATTTTGCTTAACCTGGGTTCAGCCCAATCCTGGCTCAATCTGAGATCCATCAGCCCTCAATTAAGAAAAATAACCTTTGGTACTAATCCTACTTCAAATGCTGCACTTGCCTTTGTTCATCAGCTTCCTGTTTCCTGAAAGTCTTTTTGTTCACTTCCCCAGGCTTCAAAGGGAGCTCTGGGTACTGAACGGTTCTGCAGCCATGAAGAGAAGAACTTCTCTATGAAACCTTCCCTGACCCCTACCTCCCAGCTGAAAGTGATCTCACTTGGCTTCCAATTTTCCTAGAACAGTTTATCTAGATTATGGATTCTTAACCTTTTTTGTGTGTATTGTGGACTCTTTCGGTAGTCTTTGAAGTCTGTGGACCCCTTCTCATGATAATGTTTTCAAATGCTTAAAATAAATCGGATTTAAAAGGAAATAAATTATTCTAAAGTAGTTATAATTTTTTCCCCAAAAACAAGTTCATGGATCACAGGTTAAGAATACCTGGTCTAGATCTGTTCCTTGTTCCTATCTCTACCTAGAATCCTACTGCAGACTTAGAAGCAGACCCCTTCTTCCCAATACTCTAAATGGTACTGTAAGCTCCATGAGGAAAGGCTCTGTGTCCTTTGCCATTGTTTTATCTCCAATCTCTCGTTCAATGCCTACTACATTTTAAGTTCTTAAATGTTTGTTTAATTGAATTCATTGACTCATCTTTATTTCTTCATTCCATTCCATTCCAATCCACCAACAAGCATTTATTAAGCTCCTACTTTGAGCCAGGCATAGGGATACAAAACTGAAGATTAAATAGTCCCTACCCTTAAGGAGATGACATTTTACTGGGGAAGACAACAACACATATATGCATAATTATAACAAAATGCACACAAAATAAATCAAGTTTGTTGTAGAAAGCAACAGCAGCTGTGTGGATCAGGAATGATTCCTCAGGTCTCTGTATCACCTATGTCTAGCACAATGGCTTGGCACATAGTCAGCAGCTAATAAATACTTGTTGATATATTTGTGTAGTTCTTTCTTTGGCCTTGGAGTCAAGAGGACCTGAGTTCGAATCCGGCCTCAGACACTTGACACTTACTAGCTGTCTGACCCTGGGCGAGTCACTTAACCCTGACTGCTGCACCAAAAAGCAAAAAAAAAAAAATAGTATTTAAAGTGCAACTTCCCTAACTATCTAGGTGGCATAGTATATAAACCATGGGCCTGTAGTCAGGATGCATTGAGCTCAAATTCAACCTCAGACACTTCCTAGCCTTGGTGTGGATCTCCTTTTCCTCATATTCTTGTTGGACCAAGGAAGACCTTTTAAGCTTTAAGTTTGGGAGGGTCTAGAAGATGCTCAAATTCCCATCTTCCCATCAGTATCCTGGCTTCATGCCTAATTGTGTGATAGCAATGTTTGCATTGGGAGTCAAGGATATACTATGCAAGGATTAACTATGCTTAATGGAAAATTCTTGCACACCATACAAGTGGGAGAAAAGGAATTCCAATAAGCAGGAGCTGTGAATTGCTAATTAACATAAAATTATTAAATAGGGACAGGCACACTTCATTCTTTGAGTACTTACTGGGAAAGACCATGATTGGCAGTGGGAAATGGGGCAGCTATATACTTTGATAGCCACCACGAGTGTAAGGTCAAACCACAAAGGAAATACAAAGATGAGTAAAGGAAAGTGGGGATACAGAGGCAGACAATGCAGGGATGGGGGAAATGGAATGGTGAAGGGAGGCAGACCATCTGAGAAACAGGGATAGAGAAGGGATGAGTCACTTATATAACCATGGATTGGAGTTGGGGCATTCAAGCAGCATAGACCCTTAGGAGATGGAAGATTGCTTGGAGGACAGGAGTTTGAGGTCTCATTTTTATTTTATTTTATTTTTTGGGGGGACAGGATAGACCAACACCTATCTGTGCCACCTTGGGGTTAGTTCGTTAATATATCCCAATCATCTCAAAGTTATCAGTAAAACTTCAAAGTCATCATCTCAAAATTATCAGCAGTTTTTTGATGTTCTGCAGATCTGGAGCTCTGGAAGTCTGGATTTTGTCTGGTTCACATATCATAGGACCAGAACTTTGACAAGCAGCACCTAGATGATTTCTCCTGATTCAACACATATTACTAGGAATGTGAATTTTGGTTAATATATGATGCAATTTGCCAAATTATGCCCCTTTGATCTTTGGGTTGGTTTGTATGTTACTTCAAGGTTCCCCTTTGTAATCTCAATTATACTAATTGTTCTTACCGTACTGCTTTGGTAAATACCCTCTTTCTAGAAAGGGATAGTTATTGTACTTCCCTCCCTGTGTTATTGTGAGCTTCAAGTGAGATCTTTTATTTAAAACCCTATTTTAATGTCATCTATTATTATTGTTCAATTTTAAATTATTCACCTGTCAACATTTCATGAAGACAGGAGTGGTGTTAACTTTAATATATCTGCTCTCACACTAGGACAATTCCTCTGACAAAACCTTGGAGAACATCTACTACAACAAAACTGGTTAATTTGATTTTCGTTTTCTTCCTCTATTCCATGTTCATGGTCTTGAGGAGGTACTAAGCAGTAGTGATATGACCAGAAGCTAAAGACATGAGTTAAAAAAAGCCAAGAAATAATATAAGCAAGGGACCAAGTACCTCTCTGACCCTACCTTCTCAGGTAAACAATCACAGGGAACAGAATTCTGCTTAGATATTCATAATTTGGCTAGCTAGTAATATGACATGTAGCCTTAAACTAGATAAAAAGTGAATTTAAGCTCTTTGAAGGCAAAGACTGCTTTTCTTTTGTCTTTGGGTCCACAGTACTTAGTCACAGTGTCTGAAATATAGTAGGCATTTAATAATAATAAATGCCTTCAATTGGGCCAATTAGTTGAACAGAAAACTACATCTTAAGTCAGTGTTATTCATGGTATAGACAGTAAGTGTGATGGGATTAGGATTTTAAAATATACCCAGATGACATGAGTAGCTAAGAGGTGATTAGAGCTCTAAATTGACTTTGGGTTAGAAAGTCAAGAAACTTGAGCACATACTCCATATATGAGACCATTGAGACACCATTGCCAAATGCTTAATAGAATTATTTTGGCATAAATTCCACATTATTTTATGTGGAAAATTAAATCAGGCCTTCTTGATTGTACTAATATTTATTCACCAGTCTGATCCTGATTTGATTTTCTACATGAAAGTGATAAGAATTGATTTGCTACCATACCATGGAAATTAAAACTAATCAAGTTTAAAGTAACTATACTACTGAGATTAGTTAAAGTAATAATAATAGCTCACATTGGCATGGTTGGTAGGATCTGGGGAAGAAAAAATGGAGAGAAGGATAATATAACTGGGCTGTACTTGTGTGCAGCATCTTGCCCAGTAGGCAGCATTTTAAGTACTGGAAGCAGGGAGTGGGAAAAGAACAATGGTGGATAGCAGTTCAGGCAGTCCCAAAGTAGCCCTTTCTTTAATTTTGTCATTTTGATAAGGGTCCATCCACTTTGCTGTAAAGATGAAGGAGTGAGAGTTGTGCTAGGAAGTTAAAGTTTGTAACTGTGGACAAGCAGGCTGATCAAGGCTAGACTGTTGTGAGCTAGGAAGCTATGATGTAGACGTGGGACAGCTTGAGTTAACTTCGATTCCACATAGATTGAACCGAGACCTAGCCATCGCCTGGGCAAGAGGTATATAAAGAATGATTCCATGCATTTAGTAGGAGGCTTCTGAGACCACAAGGAACCTCTTTGGAAGCTATTTTTACCTAGGGATCATCAAGTACATACACACACACACACACACACATATATGTACATCTATATGTATATGTGTATATATAGTAATTATCTTACATATGTGTATATATGAGTGTGTATATGTATTTACATATATATATATACACATATATATTTAATAAGATAATTATTTATCTCAGTCCTCAGACTCTGAATGATTCCTCCATGACAAGACCTAGGCAAAATTGTAGAGTAAGTATAGTTGGTCTGCAATGAATCTCTCCCTTGTATGCTGTCATTCTTCCAGCTCGTTGGAGCCCCTATCCAAATCAGGCCCACAAGTGCCGTGTCCTTTACTCTACAGATACCATTCAATTAAAATGTAATCTAAAACATTTTTCAGTCTCAGAGGGTAAATGACCAATGACAGTTTAAAGTGTTGTCAGTCATTAGGGGTATTTGAATTTTTAACAGAATCAAAGCCTTCAGCTAAAGCTCTGATGTTAGAATTCAGGTATCATTAAATAGAGAAGAAGGAAATATTTGGGAATTGGGATCTTTCTGGTGCCACTGATTTCAACCACACCATATGAAACTGAGTTTTTATGCAATCTTGCCTGGTCCTTCACATAGCAGCATGTGTTTGATACGACATGGTCAGTGTTAGATTATAAACTCCTGGAAAGTTGGCACTATGACCATATCATGCCTTCTATATAACACATAACAGACTACCTTATGCCATTAGCTATGGGATACAGTGTACTGCTTTTAAGAGTTGTAGTAACTCCATTGGCATCCCAGTGACAAGTTAATCACATAACCTCAGGTTCCTCATTTGTAAAATAGAGGATAATACTTATACCTCACAGAGAGGTTATGAGAAAAATGCTTTACAAACTATAAATGTAGACTTTTATTATTATTTTAGTTACTCAGTGAAGTGGCTATGAGAGCTTGGAATAGAGAAGAGAAGGTTAAATTTGGATTTGGAAGAATTATGTTCAAATCCAAACTTTTTATTTTTTTAGCTATATTTTTTAGCTATAAATCCTGGGCAAGTCATTTTAACCCATATGCTCTTCAAGCAACTCCTTAGAACTAATTTGCTAAGTCACAGACAAATTAAAGGAACTGTAATTAATAAAAAGGACACTAGAATGGGGAGGGGAGAGAGGAAACAATCATTTAAAAAATATTTAGTGTGTGCCAGGCACTGTGCTAAGCACTTTTACAAATATTATCTCATTTGATCCTCACAACCCTGGGAGGTAGGAATTATTTTTATCCGCATTTTACAATTGAGGAAATTGAGTCATAGGTTAAGTGACTTGCTGGGAGTTATATAGCTAGTAAGTCTCTGAGGCTGGATTTGAACTCAGGTTTTCCTGACTTCAGGTTTAGTGCTACCTGACTGGGTTCTAGTTTTACTTCTCTCACTTAATAGTTGTGTGATCTCAAACAAGTCATTTGCACTTCAT